TAAAGTAAGTAAGTAAGTAAGTAAGTAAGTAAGTAAGTAAGTAAGTAAGTAAGTAAGTAAGTAAGTAAGTAAGTAAGTAAGTAAGTAAGTAAGTAATTGTAAGGCCACAAGTTGATAGTGGGTTGATAGAACATAGTAAAAACAGTAAAACATTTCATTAGCTCTTTAGGCAAGATATAGAACATAGGACATAATTACAAAACAGCAAAAATATTGCTGTGTTTCCCTGAAAATAAGACAGGGTCTTATAAAGACTTTCACTCCAAAAATGCATTAGGGCTTATTTTCAGGGGATGTTTTATTTTTTTCCCCATGTACAACAATCTACATTTACTCAAATACAGTCATGTCATGTCCTTGTGGTTGCTGTACAAGGGTGGAGGGCGGGGTTTCACTGAACTGGGGTTTATCTTTGGGGTAGGGCTCATATTACGAGTATCCTGAAAAATCATACTGGGGCTTATTTTCAGGTTAGATCTTATTTTAGGGGAAACAGGGTAGTCACAAAAGCTTCATGGAAACACAGAAAGCTTGGAGCAGGCTTTGGCACATGGCTTACAGGATGCATGGTAAATCTCATGCCAATCATGAATGCCTGAACTCTTCTGCGCAGTATGAAAACCTTTGGGAGCAGAATTTACAGGTGTGCCATGTTCATGGTCTCCTCTCTTCTCTATCCCAAAGTTATAGGAAAGCCTCTTCTGGCTTGTAATGTCATTCAGCAGCAGCTGTTTTCAATGAACACTTCATTGTGTTCAGTCCCATGGCTCCAGAGGAAGTTGGAAAAGCCATGGAATGGAAGAGGGAAGTTTAATTATGAAAATCATCCCCTTTTAATATGATCAGCTTTCCACAGGTGTAAGTGTGTGAACAGGATTTCTGGCAGTATGTATTTCTTGCATTTCTGTACGGTCTTTCCTGTATATACTGCCTTCCCCTCAAAACTGGGACCTCCTGTCTCCCACAGCCCAGTACTCCAACTGTGGTTTTATCAGCTCAGAAAGTCATAGGGGTCACTGTTTCTCCTGCCTTTGGCTGTGGGCCACGGGGAGACTCCGTGTCTCTAAAGATTTGACCTAAGGGTCCCTGGGGGACAAATACTTACCCCAGCATCTACCATAGGCCGTTTCAGACCCCCAAAAGGCAGTTTAATGTGTTCCTATGGGGGATAAACTCACCGTTAAGCAGAAATCCTCCCTAGGGCTGCCATTTTCGCCGCTTCGGTAAGCAAGGAATCGGCACGAAAACGCTGCAGGCGGCCATTTTGTTGATCTGGCAGCCATTTTGGAACCGCCTATCAGCTGTTCTAAAACATCGCAATGCGAAGATCGGTAAGCAAAACGCTTACCAATCATCGCAATGCGATGTTTTGCCTATTTAAACATCGCAATGCGATCGCAAAATCCGCATCGCTATGCGGATTCATCGTTAAACGGGGCGCTCGTTATGCGAGGCACCACTGTACAATAGAAATTACCTATATGGAGACTTCTTTATGTCACCTGCAAATTCCCCAAAATAGAAACCACAGAAATTGACCATTTCTGAGGAATAAAAGAAACCCCACTTTTTTCTGGCTGTCTTTCATTCTTGTTTGGTATTTTTAAACTTGAGGGCCACTGGGGTGGACTAGGGTAGGGAGAGGCAAAAATGCCCTGAGAATCCATGTGCAACCTGAGGGTCCTGTGAGGTCTCCATTTGCTCCATTTCCTTTTTTTCCCCTTGCACTCAGGCCACAAGAAATGCCCTCATTTTTTTTCTCACATCTTCTGCTTCCTTTAGCGCCCTGCATTGTTTTTTTCTCACATCTTCTGCTTCCTTTAGAGCCCTGCATTGTGGTAACATGGCATATATCTTGTGATAGTGGTTCATACGGTTTGTAAAGTGCATGGCATATATCATGTGATAGTGGTTCATATGGTTTGTAAAGTATTCTGCCTTTTTAAGGGTACATTAGATGCTGTACATTTGTCTGCACCCCTCAAGCAGGACATATCCCCTTTTCATAGTGTTTATCTACCCATTTTCCCTTTTAAAAAAAAATATGGGTGTGTTGCTGTTTCGGTAAATCACTTGTGCTGCAAGAAGTATGCTGTAGGTTGCAGGCTAAGAAAACCCTCCCCGAGTTTTGTAGGCATCCTTCAGTCTCAAGAGACGATGGTAATGTGCTCTAAATACAGTCTTTAACAGATGCATACCAATGCACCGACATCTCCATTTGTAAATTAATGTTTTAATAAATTAAGGGAGTCAAATGACAGTAGGTGAAGGAGGTGGGACTGCATGCCAGATGTAAAGGAAATGAATTGATCTAGTTGTACACACTCTTTGGAATGCCGGTTGTACTGCACGATTAAATGTGGAATACCGTATTTTTCGCACTATAAGACACACTTTTTTCCACAAAACAGGGGGGTGGAAAGTCTGTGCGTCTTATGGAGCAAAGAAAACAGATTATTTTTTCCTGTTTTCTTCTCCTAAAAATTGGGTGCGTCTTATGGAGAGGTGCGTCTTATGGAGCGAAAAGTATAGTAGTAGCTTCCCAGCAGGCTGGATTTCATGCAGAGATAGCGTGGAGGGAGAACAAAAGAATCAGCAATAGCTGTGCGTCATTTGAAGTCAAAAACAGGGTTGAAATTCATGAAGAATACCATATTTTTCCATGTATAAGAAAATCTTTAGACTAGAAATTGAGGGTCATTGTATACACGGAAGTAAGCTGAGGAGAGAACAAAAACAAGTGGAGAGGAAAGCAGGGATCAAAGTAACCCTGCAGTACTTTGATCCATGCTTTCCCTCTCCACTTGCTAAATGCTTAGCAAGTAGAGGGGGAAAGCATGGATCAAAGCACTGCAGGGTCATTTTGATCCCTGCTTTCTTCTCCACTTGCTGAGCCCCTTGGGGCAAAAGGAGGGGAAAAGGGATAAAAGCAATCCCATAGTTGCACGAGGGGTAAAGGGATCAAAGGGATCCTGCAACCGTAGAATTATTTTGATCCCTTTCCCCCTCCACTTGCTAAGTCCCGCATAGATTTTTTAATTTTGGGTTAGAAAAGTGGGGGGCATTTTATACATGGGGGGGCATCTTATACAGTACATGGAAAACTAGGGTGACTCAGAAAGATTTTGCTGGTGTGACCACAGCCTCAGTTCCTTTATTTTCCTTCACTGGGAAATTCTGATTTGAATTAGGTAAGTGGTGAAGTAATCCTGTTTTTCTCTGTTATCAGCAGTGAGAAGGAGACACTTCTGAATCTTGTGGCTTTCACTTCTGAGCTGCAGCAGAAATTCTGACACGTCTGTGATAGAAATAGCTAAGATGATGGAGCAGTTCAGAGGTAGGGCCAAGAGCCTGCAAAGACTGACCTTTGTCCTAAAGAGAACAATACAAAGGGCCCTTTTATTTTATTACCTTTCAAATTGCAGTCAAAACAGCAAAGTCTCTTTCTTGGTAGCCGAGCCAGTATTTCATTTTTTCCTGAATAAATAATGGGATGGCCACTGCTGCTGTATTATTTAGCTGATGATTCCAAACAGAGGCATTTACAGGAAGAGAAACACCCTCTCTCTGAAACCAGAGAAAGTGAAAATAACCAGTTAACTTCCTTGTGCGACAAGCTATGGCCACTGCTGCTGTTCAGGGTCTCTGTGAGGAAGCCACTTGCTCGATCTGCCTGGAGTATTTCAAGGATCCCGTCACCATTGAATGTGGGCACAACTTCTGCCGAGCCTGCCTGACCCGGTGCTGGGAGGGGTCAGGGGACCAAGAGCTCACCTGCCCTCAATGCCGAGAAAAAGTCCTGAGGAGTCTCGTCTCCAATCGGCAGCTGGGAAACATTGTGGAATTGACGAAGGAGCTCCATCTTGAAGCGGGAAAGAGAACTGAGGGAAAGGGGGGAGCCTGTGGGAAGCACCGGGAGCCCCTGAAGCTCTTCTGCAAGGATGATGAAGCCCCCATCTGTATGGTGTGTAAATGGTCGAAGGAGCACCAAGATCACCAGGTGGTTCCTCTGGAGGAAGTTGTCCAGGACTACAAGGTAGCAAAAGTGATGGCAGAAATCATTGGGGGGGGCAGGGGACGGGGAGTCTGTTTGTGATGCCACTAGATTGTTGACAATGGATTGGTGGAAAACAAGAGGTAGAGCTGAGTATCGTCAGCATATTGCTGACTCCTTGGCCCAAACCTTCCAGCAGTTTCATGTAAATTTTAAACAGCATGGGGGACAGTATCGAGCCCTGAGGAACCCCATGACATAAACGCCATGGAAGAGAGCAACTGTCCCCCAGCACCACCCTCTGGGCATGGTCAGCTAGGAAGGAGCGGAACCACCATAAAGCGGTGCCCCCCAACTCCCAACCCAGTCAGCCTATCCAAAAGGACACCATGGTTGATGGTGTCGAAAGTCGCTGAGAGGTCCAGGAGTATCAATAGGGTCACACTCCCCCTGTCTCTCTCCCCGCAAAGGTCATCATACAGAGCAACCAAGGCGGTCTCTGTACCAAAACCCGGCCTGAAACCCGATTGAAATGGATCCAGAAAATCTGTTTCATCCAGCAGCGCCTGGAGTTGCCCGACCACAATCCGCTTCAACACTTTGCCCAAATAAGGGAGGTTCGCCACTGGTCGGTAGTTAACCACATCAGGGGGAAGTGAAACCAACATGGAGGGATATCAGGGATTTCCTACCAACTCTCCTCAGACTGAAGAAGCTACTTGGATGAACATCGAAAGGTTTCAACCTAATAAAGGGTCCCATGACTAATTCCTGGTTTTTGCCTGTCTCTAACATATTAATCAATCAGCAAGAGAAATTTAATAGATGTTACACGAAGAAAACGTGGAGAAGAAGTGCGCCCCCTTATTACAGAGTACGCATTTTTATAAGTTCCTCTTGAAAACCATCCCCCCCTTGCCCTCCTGGACCCTTCCCAGCCTTCCTCCACCCCACCCCACCCCCCGAGGGCCCAGCACCGCTGAAATCACCCTCAGGGAGCCTACCTGGCCTTCCTCTGCAGCCTTTTCCTAACAGTTGGGGTGAAAGAGCTACCAGGAAGCAGCCTCTTTCGCCACCTACAGTTAGAAATTTGAATTTCCCCCCCTTTTTCCCTACCTTTTTCCCATTTGTAGGTCAAAGCAAAATTTTGTGGCCGGAGCAGTTCGTAAGTCAAATTGCTCGTAGGTCAGGGCGTTCGTAAATCAAGGCACCACTGTAATCTCCTTGGAGTTTTGCTGGCCTGTATTTAAATGTAATTATACACTTACTTCAGATATATAACTCATTTAACCTTTCTATGTACATACCAGCTCCAATGACATATAATAAATGGACTTTGATTTGTATTATTTGTAAATCTGGTGATTTACCTTGTAAGATAGCATTCCCCAAACTTTTTAGTAGTGTGGACCAGCGGAGCCTCCAAGGGAGGTGGGGCGGCCCTTCGTGCTTGCGCTCTCCGATGCACATGCAAAGTGGTTGGGGAGCGCGTGCGCCATAGGCATTCCCTCACCGTTTCCTGCATGCGCAGGAGTACCCGTCCACCCACGCACGCACCCACCCCACCCCTGCACGCGGGCGCATGCTTGAAGAAGTGAGGGAGTGTGTGCCAGCAGCAGTGGTGGAAGCCTGGGAGTCTTTTCTTAATTATATTTTACTAAACATTTTTTATTTTACTCCTTGCCGCCCTCCGCGGGAAATTCAAATACAGCCACTGCTGCCAGTTCCAGAGCTGGAGGCACCAGCGGTGGCATTGGCCTGCTGAAGGTGGTGAGGAGCGCCTAGCCTGGCATTGTTGGAGCCCGCCAGGAGGAGAGCAGCCGTGATTGGGAGGAAGCACGTTCTTCAGTTCTCCTTTGCCTCTCAGTTAAAAACAGACTTCTTTTTACCTTTCAGGATCTCATCTCCAGCCGCCTGAAGATTCTGGAGAAAGAGAGAGCCAACATTTTAACATATAAAGCAAAAACAGAAGAAGAAAGCCTAGACCTACTTGTGAGTATTGATGTCTTTAAAAAGGGATCAAATTTTTAAAACAGCATGTGGAAAACGCATGGAGGGATTCAGGGAGGAGCAGGAGAAGGATGTGGGAGGGGCACAAGTCCCAACCCTGTTTTCACCTTTGGAGTCTTGACTTTTTGAGACCACCCTTCACAGCCCCTGCCATCAGCCTCATTCCCTCCCCCTCCTTTCTGACCCTCTAGAAACAGACAGAGGCAGAGATGAAAAAGACAAAGGAACGATTCAGAGAACTGAGCTCCTTTTTGAATGAACAAGAGGAGCTTCTTCTGGCCCGACTGGAAGAGGTGGAGAAGAAGATTGAAAGGCAAAGAGAGGAGCACCTGGCCAGGCTCTCCGAGGAGCTCTCCTCTCTTGGAGGTCTCATCCAGGAGATGGAGGAGAAGCGTCAGCAGCCCCCAGGTGAACTCCTGCAGGTAAGACTGGCAGAAGGAAGCCACGCTGCTCTCCAGGGGAAAGCTGGCTCTGCAAAACATTTGTGGCCCCACCTACATGTAGAGAGAATCAACTTGAGTACATACAGAAGAATTGAGACAATTGGGTCAGTGTTTTTACCTCAGTGTGGCCTAAACATTGATGGGAACACCTGCAATTTTCACTTCTCTGCCAATGCTTTGATTCCAAGCCATGCATCATCCCTGCCTCTTCTTCTGAGCCTCCCAAAAAGAGCAGGTTAGGCTCTCTTGGAAACTGGTCACCAGAGCTGCTCTCATCCATTGCTTCAGAGTTTGAATACTTATTGTGGATGACAAACACAGAGACACACAAGGAAACACAGATCCCATTTTAAATGGTTCTGCTACCTTCCAAGAATCCTTTGCCCTAAAAGACAGGAGATAAAATATCTGCCACCTTAACCCTGGTCCTTCAAATACCTCTTACTCCCTTGTGGCAGTTCAGAGGCAGCCAAAGGTTTTTTAAACCGATGATGGATCTGTCCTCCACAATGGGGTGGGTTTAGAGTGGAAAATAAAGAGGGCCTGTGGGTGCCTCCCCACAGACTGATGTGGTAGAAGCACTGATCTCTCTCTTCTTTCTCTTTTTTCCCCCCTCCAGGATGTCAGAAACCTCTTGCAAAGGTGAGTGGAGCAGCTGTTTTTCATCAGGCCTTGATAATTCTGGGAGGGGCCTTTGTGGAAGGAAAATGGTCCCAAACTCTCCTGGAGAGATGATGTTGGCTCTCGACCGTTGGGGGAGGTAACAACAAAGGGTAGGCTCAGGAGCGCCTCCTTCTTCCACCCAGGGCCACTCCCAGAGCACAAGCCTTTCCTCCCCCGCCAATGGCTCCTTCCTGCCTTCTTCATTTTTCCAACTCATTCTGCTATAACTGTTCTTAAAAATTATACTAAATTAGAGAATTTGTGAATAGCTCCATACACATTTGTTTTTGAATGTATGTTATTGGTAGGATCCTCTGAGGGTCACTAATTCTAAGTGTTGCTGTAAGTTGGAAGTGACTGAACAGAACACAGAAGAAAGAGTAACATGTTTCTTAAGCTTGTTCTGAATTGTACTGGACAAAGAAAATAATAAGAATACAGCAGGAATATTACAAACAAAAGCTTCATGGAAACACAGAAAGTTGGGAGTGGGTGATGAAACCCTAAACTTCTCTAGGCCGTGTGAAAACCTTTGAGAGCAGGAGTTGTAGGTCGTATCTCCTCTCTGTCTATAGTTACAGAAAAGACTCTTCCTGCTGATAACACCATTCAGCAACAGCTATTCATAGTAATTAAAGACATTTTTCTCCCAAGTGATTTGAAAAAGCTGTGGGATGGAAGGAGGCAGTTTTATTTACTGAAAGCCATCCTCTCTTGATATCATCCGCCTTCCACAGCAATGGCTATGGGATTCCTGTTATTCCTGCCTTTGGTTGTGAGGCAGAATGAGGACTCTTGGTCTCTGAGGGTTTGATCCAGGGAGACAAATGCTTGAACCAACTGCTATCACCTGTACCTCTTCAAAAGCCATTTAGTGCCATTTAAAAAACGGAAAGAGAAAGTGCCGAGATGCTGCTGGTTTGCAGTTGTTTCATTTCTTGGGGGAAAGGAGAGGGATGGAAGGTCTTAGGTCCCCCACACATCTCTTGAGGTGAAAACTATAGATGTTGACCACTTTCTGGAGGAGGGAGAAAAAAACACACATTATTTTTGCATATTTTCAATTCTGAGGGACTGCAAAATGCCTCTGGGGTCCACATGCAGCCCAAGGACCACATTTTGTCTATTTTTGTTTCAGGTTTTCTGCAGCTTTCCCACTCAGTCCCTTTGTTTTCCAGGAAATTCTGGGTACGGTTAGGTGGGTTTCAAGTAACTTTTTTTCCGCTCTACCAACAGGCATGAGAACAAGGAGTCCTTTCAGAATCCTGTGGCTTTCCCTCCTGAACTGAAGTGGGAGATCTGGGATGTCCGTGAGAGGAATCAGTTTCTAGCTGAGATGATGAAGCAGTTCAGAGGTAAGGCAGAGCGCCTGCAAGGACAGACCCTGGTCCAAGAGGGAACAAGAGAAGAGTGTGTTTTTTCTTTTGTTGCATGATGGATGGCAGTCACAAGGGAGAAAAGGCTCTTCCCAGATAGCCCAGCTCCTCTTTCCTTTCCTCTGAAAAGGACTAAATCCACTCTTATTCTCAGAGACTATGAGGTAGGGTGGGAGGGGTTTGTTGTTCTCCATGAAAAAGAGGCTGACACAGTGTGGTCAATGGGGGTGGGTGGGAATCTCTCTCCTGCATGTGATCAGTTTCCCTCCTTCAAACCAAGTGCTCATCTGCCCAGTTTGAGAAACTCTTTCAAAAGGTTCCTGGAATCTTCTTCAGTTTTCAACAACCTGGAGATTGATATCAGACACATGCAATGGCTAGTTCATTGCTCACCCTTCTGAATGAATTAAGAACCAATGGGTCCCTTTTCTGGAATCAACACATGCCAACCAATGTATTCTCACCATCTTTTCTTTCAATTAGAAGGGAATTCAATCTCTTCCTAGTACCATTTTAAAGATCACCTTATGAATTGTCTCACTTGTAGGAAACTAGGCAATAACTATATTGTGTAAACCTACAATGTAAACTCTGTGAGACTTGATCATTTCTTGGTATGATTTATAAACTATTCAAAAGTCAGCTGCGGCTATTAGTCTTCCTCCTATACAACTCCTTAAAGGGGATCCACCCCTGGCTTACAGCATATGGCAGGAGATGTTCTGCATTCTTGAAAAAGACAAGGATACCCAGATTCCTATCAGCCCATCATTCTGTTGGCTCTTAACTAATAAATTCATTGGAGAGGAACACTGGCTTTTTAAGGGGTTGAGTAGATGATGAACCCAATCAGGAGGCTTTCCTCAGCATCATACTGTACGGCATTTCTTGTGTAACAAATCAAACCCCAATACCATTGGCCTCTGACAAAATTGAATTGTGTTTTATATTCAAGGTGGGTGAAACAATGGGGATAGGGGAAACTTTTCTCAAACTACTAAATTGGCTAGACATGGGTCATGAAATGGTCCTCAGAAGTAATGGGAGAAGGAGACGTCCGATTTCCGGTTATGCCACAGCGGTACCTCTTGAGTTTGGAGCTCTGAATGAAGGAGGGATTCACACGCTTTAGGGGCGCTCACAGTGGGCGTAAGAGGTGCAAACTGGGGTTTGGATCGTGACGGTGGTGGTGCTCGTGGACGACCCAGCAGCCTTTTTACTCCCCGGTGGTGGTGGAGGGGAGGGGCTAGGAGAGCCCTTCCAAAGAAGCTGTCGGCTCCAGGGAATAAAAACTCAGAAGGTTACAAGCAAGACTCTATGGTGAGATTCTCCAAGAAGCATTTTATTCTCCCTTGTGAATCCCGGCTTGTATCAGCCCTTCCTTTAATTTTACCCACACCCTCCTCCTGAACAGTGGCTTTGCATGAGAGACAAATGTGAAGGTGTGGAGAACTCAAACAGGGTAATGAAGGCAAAAGCAAAGAGAATAATCAAATGTAAATGAAGTATTAAAGAGTGGTATTTGATTTGCTGGAATTTGGAGAGAACTATAAAATATAAGGGGGAAAAGGGGGCTCGTCTTTACTATTTTCAGTATCTTTACTATTTACTGTGCCTTCTGCATTGAGAGAAGAAACTCCATTTTAGAAAACACGCACTGAAAGGCACTATTCGCCCCTCCTTTCTTTTTCCCTGTTATTGGCATACAATCAAAAACACCAGGAATCGTCAAGGACACTTGAGATAAACTTATAGGAGTTAACGCTGACAGTCGGCAAGGAAGGGAAAGATCAAATAAGTGCTGTGGGAACCATTAGAGGGCAGTAGAAAATAGAAGACACAGCGTCCATATATTTAAAGAAGGTTTTTTTTCTGCCTTTCTTCTGTTACTGTACCCAGACCAAATCGGGATTGTTGGAACTGTACAAATAACTGTATTATTGTGATCTTCAAATATTTGGGAATCTAGTGGATACAATGTTTATTTTTTTCTTTTTCTTTTTTTTCTTTTTACATTTCTTTTTTTTCTGACACTACATTAGAAATTTGTGGTTTCTACAGTTGGGTTAACTCTGAAGAAGATTAACTTTTTTTCTTTTTTTTCTCCTGCTTCTTTTTGAATTTTTACCCTCCTGTGGTTTTTTTCTTTTTTTCTTTTTGCCTTTCTTTGCCGTCGGGTTTTTTGTTCCCTTTTTTGTTCTTTCCCTTTTTCTTGCATTACTTTTTTGATTGCCTGATATTTTTATTATATTTGGTATCGGTTCTTGCTTACATTTTTTTTGGATTTATTCAATACTTTAGAATTCCAGCCTTATTGGAATATAATTACACTAGAACCAAGGTGGGATCTCCGGGAACTTTTGGGGACCCTAGAAAATTTCTGGATAAGACACCACAGAATTTCAATCTTAGGCTCCCGGGATTACAATTCTACTATGATTCTATCTGGATCTTTGCAACTCTGGGAGCTCTTTATTATATATTTCTGAATTTCGGACACTTTGGAATAAAAACCTGCTAAGATCCCTTCCCCAATAATGTTTGAGAATAGGTGGGAGATACAGGGACGTGGTGGCGCTTTGGGTTAAACCTCTGAAGCCTCTGTGCTGCAAGGTCAGAAGTCGTAAGATCAAATCCACACAATGGAGTGAGCCCCCATTGCTTGTCCCAGCTTCTGCCAACCTAGCGGTTTGAAAGCATGCAAAAATGCGAGTAGATAAATGGGTACCATCTCGGTGGGAAGGTAATCACCGTTCCGCGCCTAGTCACGCTGGCCACGTGACCACAGAGAATTGTCTGCGGGCAAATGCTAGCTCTATGGGTTGGAATCGAAGATGAGCACCACCACCTAGAGTCGGACACGACTGGACAAAATTATCAAGGGGAACCTTTCCTTTTCCCTTTACAGTACTAAAGAGACCTACTGAGGAGGAAAGACTGCAGGTGGCTTTAGAAAATGAGAACCAGCACAGCCAAAGGTTCTAAAAAGGTGGGGACATCATCAGGAGCCTCCTCAAATGCATCTTCAAGAACAACAAGCCCGGCCCAACAGAAAAATATAGGAGATATGTTACAGAGTAAAGAAATGCAATCTATCTTGGACATGTTTGCAGACATGAAAATAAATCAGCAACTGATAGAAGAAATGACTGGCACAAACCAAGCCAGATTGGAAAATAAAATGGAGGAGATTAATCAACAGATAACTACATTAGCCAACTAAATTGCAGAAACGAATCAGAGTTCAACAAAATAAATCACAAATTCAGCAGCTAGACCAAAAATTTACAGAAAACAAGAACTATCAACACTGAAACAGGAAAAGAAAAACCCAAGAAATCTTAAAGAAGTACAAAGAAGGAACATTGATATTAGAAATAGATAGAGCATCCAATATTCTGAGATTCCACAATGTTCTGGAAAAATAATGACATTGATTTATTAGACTAAATGAAAGAAGTCTTGGCAGAATTCTTAGATATAGAAAAATCCCAGATGAGTAGTGAAATTGCACAGATTTTTAGAATAAACTCAAGTTTTGCAAAGAGGAATAAGACCCCAAGAGACATCCATATAACTTTCCTGAGGGGGGAAATCAAAGAAGACATATTGAAGAGGTCAAGAGAAAACCCATTAAGGATCCAAGGTAGAGAAATGGAAATTCTAAAACAGATTCCTTGGAAAATCCAAGAAAGCAATATTTCTTCTTAACAAAAATTTAAATGAGAAGGACATAAATTTTAGATGGCTAACACCTGAAGGAATCATACTAAATTGGCAATCAAAAAGATTTAGATTAGATAACCTGGATAAAGCCAAAGATTTCTATGAAAAACGCATAGCTATGGGAGAAGAACAAAGTGCTTCAGCAGAGAAAGAAGAAGAAGAAAGAAGTGCGACAAGACAACAAGGGAAACAAAAGGAGATTGACTACAAAACCGAGGGAAAACCGAGGGAAAGAGGAAAACCAGAGCAACTAATCCAACATATAAGTGAATATTGAAACAACAACAACAGTATTTTCAGTGAACATAAATGAACTAAACTCTCCAAAGAAAAGAAGCTACAAAAAGAAAACACAGATGTAATTGTTCTTCAGGAAACTCATATTAAAGAAAAAACTTCACCTTATTCGAATGTCCAAAAATAGGTGTAAATTGTTTTATGCATGTGACCCTAAACAAAAGAAAAAAGGAGTTATCATCTATATGTGAAAGCTCATAAGGAAGCCAAATTTATCTACTCGGACCAAGAGGGAAGAATCTTAATGGTGGAAACAGAGATTAATAGTAAAAAAACACTGGTAGCTGCTATATATGCCCCTAATCAAGCTCAAGAAACATTTTATAAGAGGCTTTATAGTATTATAAGAGAGAAAAATTATCAAAATATTTGCTTAATAGGAGACTTTAACACCATAGTGGATCTAGTAAAAGACTACAAAAAGAATCATAAAGGGAAAAATAAAACAAATACACTACCCAAAATATTTTCCAAATGGCAGAAGAATTAAGATTGGAAGATACCTGGCAAGGACACAATGAAGAAAAATTACAATATACTTTCTATTCAAACTGAATGAATCCTGGTCCAGGATTGATATGATATGGAGAACAAGTGATTTGAGGGTAGGAATAGATGAATTAAATATACAAACAAACATATGGGCAGATCATAACCCACTCAAAGTGGCCGCCTCAGTACCCAGCAGTGCTTCCTCCTCCTCCTCAGAGCCCCAGCCAGGCTAAGAAAACTCCTGGGCGGCTTCCTCGGGCTCTTGCTCCAATTAGCGGAAAATCTGATGCGGCCCAGCCTCACCCAGACTCTGCCTCCAGCGGCCTCCAGGTAAATTGAGTTTGAGACCCCTGATCTACACAGTCCAAGAGGGAAGAATCTTAATGGTGGAAACAGAGATTAATAGTAAAAAACAAAACAAAACACTGGGAGCTGCTATATATGCCCCTAATCAAGCTCAAGAAACATTTTATAAGAGGCTTTATAATATTCTAAGAGAGAAAAATTATCAAAATATTTGCTTAATAGGAGACTTTAATGCCATAGCGGATCCAGTGAAATACTACAAAAAGAATCATAAAGGGAAAAATAAAAGAAATACGCTACCCAAAATATTTTTCCAAATGGTAGAAGAGTTAAGATTAGAAGATACCTTGTGAGGACACAATGAAGAAAAATTACAATATACTTTCTATTTTAACCAACATGAATCCTGGTCCAGAATTGATATGATATGGACAACAAGTGATTTGAGGGTAGGTATAGATGAATTAAATATACAAAAAAACATATGGGCAGATCTTAACCCACTCAAAATTAACTGGAAAGGGGAACTGAAACAAAAAGGAAGTTGGACACTCAATACAAAGATCCTGAAAGAACAAGAATTTATGAATAATGCAAAAAAAGGAAATACTACTTCACAGAAAATGAAAAACAGTACACCTCGACACAGGCGATATGGGATGCAGCAATCCGTGGATTAGCAATATCATACATAATTAAAAGAAATAAAGCAAGAAGACAGAGATATAATAATATGAAAGAAGAATATCAGAAGTTGGAACTAGAGCTACAAAATAACCCTAACAATTGTTGTTGTTGTTTAGTTGTTTAGTTGTGTCTGACCCTTCGTGACCTGATGGATCAGAGCATGCCCAGGCCCTCCTGTCTTCCACTGTCTCCAGGAGTTGTGTCAATTTCATGTTGGTTGCTTTGCAGACACTGTCCAGCCATCTCATCCTCGGTCATCCCCTTCTCCTCTTGCAGAAATTCCGCACCATTCCATCTCATCCTCGGTCGTCCCCTTCTCGCAGAAATTCTGCACCATGTGTACTTTCCGCATTAATCTCAAAGGTAGCCCCACCTAGAGCGCATTACAATGGTCTAATCTCGAGATTACACCACCAAGGTGGTGAGGGCACCAACATTAAGAAAGGGACGTAGCCAGGCAATCCGCCAATATATATAAATGATGCTGTTTTTGTATATCTGTAAGTTTTATGTTGGGAAAATAAAATATTAAAAAAAAGAATTAATGGGAGGGACTCAGCTGTTTTAATCAGCAGGACGGAGCAAAGATGTCCGCTTTCCTCAACTTTATCTGCAGCTGCTATGAAGCCTCTGGCCTCGTTCAGAAGAGCAGATACCCACTTAAATGTTCTAGATATTAATGGAAATAAATACAGCCCAGATATGTTTGTGGAAGGATATGTTTCTGTATAAGAGGCTCTGCTGCTTGATTTGTGCATCTTTTTTGCTTTCACAGATTCTTTGTTACCTGGATCCCAACTACAGAAAGGTACGTTTCTCATGGCTCCCTACATCTGTGGAAGGGAGGGGGGCCTTCTTGGTTTGAGGCTCTTTAGACACGCAAGAGCTAAAGCGATTGCTGGTCCCATCAAGAGCCTTTTAAATCAGTTGTTTGCGCTTTCTTCAGCTGCCCAGTAAAGAGAGGCTCCTCTAGAGCAGGACCGTAGATTGCTCTGCACAGTGTGCAGAAGACACTCCAAAAGAGACACTGGGAAGCGATATTGCCCAAATGCAGAAAGACAGAAAACATATTGTCGCACTTTGAAGATTTAACAGTTTTGCTTATTTGGTGGGTGGGATCTCTCCACACTGAGCCTTCGCTCATCTCACATTGCACCCCTAAATACTCACATTATATTCCAGGTTCCACGTGGCACAGGCCTGAGACTCGTGTTAAAAGAGTCAGAGTTGCTTTTGGATTTTCTAACCTTTTTAACCCCACTGCTAGGTGGCGGTATAGTTTTCTTCGGCTTCCCTGTAGTTTGCTCCAGTGCAGGATCTGCTCAGGGGGACCCTCAGATGCCATTCCTCCGTCCTGGTCCGGAGGCCTTGTAGGTGGGAGTCATCTGACGACCTTTCTTTATGAGGGTGTTCCTGCTGGTCGCTCTCCAGCTCTCCACGCCTTGCTCCTCCTCCTCCTTAGCTATCTTGGAATACGAGTTGTTCTTTTATGCTGCTTTTTACATTTCATCACTTTCACAGATTGCACAGCAGTGAAATCTAAAAATGAAAAAAAAGGAAAATGTGAAGTTTTGAGAGCAACAGGAGGGAAGGTAGAGCAGAGTCTGATCCACAAAACATTTTAAGGGGCCACAATATTTTGTCTTCTCTTATTGCCAATGTTCTGAACCAGACTGTCCCGGGGCCTTATTCTGATTGTTGGTACTGCATCCCCATGACCCAAGGTGAAAACTAAGGTCAACAGAGGGTTTGTCTGCCCATTGTAATTGAAGTATGCTGGATTGGGCTAAAAGAGTTTACTAGGAGGGGGTGTTGACAAGTATTGAGCCTTACCCAGAAAAAAATGACCTTTTGTTTCGTTGTTTAGTCGTGTCTGACTCTTATGACCCCATGGGCCAGAGCACGCCAGGCCCTCCTGTCTTCCACTGCCTCCCAGAGTTTGGTCATATTCATGTTGGTAGCTTCAATGACACTGTCCAACCATCTCTTCCTGTCGTTCCCTTTCTCCTCTTGCCTTCACACTTTCCCAACATCAGGGTCTTTTCCAGGGAGTCTTCTCTCCTTATGAGATGGCCAAAGTATTGGAGCCTCTGCTTCAGGATCTGTCCTCTCTTCTGGCTTTCTTCTTAAGTCACTTCAGGATTTTGACACGGAACCCTTGCTTGGGTTCTTTTCCAGTGATCGGACATGCCGGAATAGGCCAATACAGAGCAAAACAGATAAGCTGCGAAGATTCAGAGGCCCAGTTAAAGCTTCTACAAAAGCAACAAATTCCATCTGATTTTTATTTGTGGAATACAAGAACTTAAAGTGGAAAAATTCCTACATCAAGCAGGGGGTTGGACCTGAAGGCCTCACAGGCCTCTTCCATCATCACTATTTTATATGATTCAATGATTCATTATTTATTTATTTTGTTTCTCTTAAAATGTAATTTTTTAAAATTTAGCAAAGTCCAGTATATTTAAAAATTGTCAGTTTGTGCTAGCAAATCTAGACAAAGAGGAAACAATACTAAAGAAACGAAAACAATCAAAAAGGTAGTGGCACCTTAGAGATTATAGTCTTTCCAGGTGAGTTTCCATAGATCAATCTATTTTACAAGACATGTTGGGCTGAAGAGAAGCTACAGGGATAGGCCATTACCTAGAGTGTATACCTGCAGAAGAAGAAAATGAGGTTGTAGATCAGTGTCTGGTGTTAGTCATGGACTGGATGCAGGCGAATAAACTGAAACTTAATCCAGAGAAGACAGAGGTGCCCTTGGTCAGCAGAAAAGTTAGAGCATTCTCTCTGGACCTGTTTCGCCCCCCACCAACCCACCCCAGTTGAATGTCTGGGCATCCACAAGATTGTTGAAGGAAGCAGGGGGAAATGAGGTTGTAGATCAGTGTCTGGTGTTAGTCATGGACTGGATGCAGGCGAATAAACTGAAACTTAATCCAGAGAAGACAGAGGTGCCCTTGGTCAGCAGAAAAGTTAGAGCATTCTCTCTGGACCTGTTTCGCCCCCCACCAACCCACCCCAGTTGAATGTCTGGGCATCCACAAGATTGTTGAAGGAAGCAGGGGGAGGGAATTTCACTGTGGTAGACAGGGGAGATCATGTTACTTATATTGTGCATATGCAAATTAGGACTAGGAAATCCAGTATTAAACAATTAAGGGTAGCGACACGGAACTTATAGTATATAAAACTAGAAAAGATTATGTTATAGTGCCGGTGGGCTTTTACTATGACAATGGACATATTAAATAGCTTAATCAGTATAGATAGATCAAAAGCTGATAAAGAAGTAAGAAGGAGAAATGTCACAATAGATTAATTCATAAAACAGATCTGAAGGATGTGTGGAGAGAATTAAAGGGTGATGAAAGAAAGTTCTCCTACTCTTTGCCAGTACAGAAATCATTCTCAAGAAAGGATTATACTTCTGTATCCAAAGAGTTATGATCGAAGATGAAGAACATTGTATTGATTGATGCAATACAACTGCTTCATCCCAGTTGGAGGAGTGGGTGTGGCACTAGGTGGAGGGATAATATCAAGAAAGAAATTGTATCAGAATAGTGAATTTAAGGAGTGTCTTGTAGCTCATATTTGAACTGTTATTCTCCTTTTTTGAGTTTGCGTTTTTGTTTTATTTTTAAATTAATTTTAAAAAAGAAAGAAAGGTGAGAGGAAGGGCTTGTCACGGTGTTGTTGGCAGCTCCTGGGAACAGCTCCCGGGAAAAGCTGGAACCGCCTGGTCTGGAGATCCTTCAGCAATGAGGAATCGAAGGGGAGACTAGGGGAAGTCTCCCTGAAGCATGGTGTGCAGCGGACGTGAGGGAAGCTGGGCAGCAATCTGGTGTTTCTTCCCCCTGAAGAGATCACCCTGAGCACAGATCAGGTGGGAGCCATTTTGGGCACTCAGCTGTGAGTAACCCACCTCGGAAGAGAGACAAACAAACAAACAAATACGGTGTTGAAAACACACAACAACAAAGTAAGTTGAAGCCTTTGATTTATGAACAGCCCCATTAAGCGGAAAAAGAAATCAGAATGAAAATATTTGGCCGAAAGAAGGCAAGGAGCAGCGAGCTTGCTTACCAGTCTGCTTTCTCAAAAGTGAAACTGACTCTTAAACAGCAGGCTGGTCGAGGCCAAAAGTGAGAGAGTGAGACGGGAAAAAAAATTGTTACTGGAAAAAAAATCCCAGAGTGAATAACAGTGGATGGGACTTAAATCTTTTAGAAGCAAGGAAATCACATTGAGAAATATAATACTGTATTGCGGTACCAAACCTCTCAACAGCATAGATCTGGGAGAGATAACATTGAGGGCTGGGAAAGTCAGGACTAGAGTTCTTGACTGGAGTTTTGGATTAATGGAAGGGATATATGACGGATTATAAGGACATCTACTGGAGAGATTGAAATCCTGTGATTGCTGTTTAGCTTGGACATTCTCTCTAGACTACGTGGGACTCTGTTAATAGAATTCTTTTAGGTCTCTGGAGAAGAAGGAACGAGCTTTTAGAAGCAAGGAAACCAGACTGAGAAACATAACATCGTGGTACCTGACTTCTCAACAGCATAGATCTAGGAGAGATAACGTTGTCGAGGGTGGACTGCGGAGCTAGGAAAACCAGGACTGAAGTTCTTGATTGGATCTTTGGATTAAAGGAGGGAACATATGATGGATTATAAGGACACCTATGGAGAGACTGAAACCCTGTGATTGTTGTTTAACTTGGACTTTTTCGCTGGACTGCGTGGGACTCTGATAACAGAACTTTTTTAGGTTTCTGGAGAAGAAGGAATATTTTTGCCATGGTTGTATTTGAAACTGCTGGGCTAAAAGTTGATTTATATACTACAACATCTGTGTAAAGATTCTAGGGGAGGTTTTCAATTGCGGGTTTGGTTTGTTGATAAAATAGTGGAAATTTCTGAAAGAGTAGGTGGTATATTTGAGGGTTGGTCACTTTGGTGAAGGATATTGTATTATTTATACAAACCCCATTGACTGAAAAGATTGAAATTACCTCAAAAAAACTAAAGTATCAAATGCGGGAGAGCTTTTGTTGCCCAATCTCAACGTTTGGGAAAATTAGTGGCACAACCATCAGGCAAAGAATGGCAGACTACCATGCAAAATATACTAACAGCAGGATTTCAGCAAGTAAATGAACGTCTTAGCCAAATAGTAGATCAGATGAAAGAGATGACATTAGCTGTCAAACAACAGTTAAATGAAGCTCCGCTAACCCCAAAATCGCTTTTATTAAGTATAATACCAGGCAATATAGAAGAGATAAAGAGTTACCCAGTGATCTATATAGCTACTACAGTCAGAAAGCTTTATGCTAAAAATTGGAAGAAAGCAGAGATACCGAAACAAGAGGAACTTATTGAGAAGACATGGGAAGCAGCAGAAATATATATTCTTTCAGACATGTTGAAAGATTGTCCAATTCAAAAGGAAAATGAACAAGGGGATTTATTATACAAATGGCTTCAGTCCCCAGATAGTCCTAGAGTAACATAGATTTAAACTAAGATGTAACTGTAAATTGAAAGCTGGAAGGTAATCAGATTGTAAAAAAGCGAAAAGTTGATCTGTTATCCTAATATGAATAGATTGAATGATTGTATACTTTGTGTTCTTCTACCCACCTAACCCTTTTTCTTTCCCCCTACTTCCTTTTACCCTTTGTATTCCTTACCTTATTCTTAGTTGATAAAAAATAAATAAAATATTTAAAAAAACACTGTGACATTGGTAAATGGTTGAGGGGAAGGAGTCCAATTGAGAATTCCTTGCACTTGGAAGGGAAGCTCTCAGAGCAGCTCATGAAGAGAACGTAGCTGGTACGTCTAGGGCCAGTTAAAAGACACTTTAGTTGATAAAAAATAAATAAAATATTTAAAAAAACACTGTGACATTGGTAAATGGTTGAGGGGAAGGAGTCCAGTTGAGAATTCCTTGCACTTGGAACAGGAGTCGTCAGAGCAGCTCATGAAGAAAACTCGGCTGGTACTTTGAGGGCCAATTAAAAGACACCGGGTGATTTGAGGAGCTCTCAAGACGGTTGATGAGATGAAGGGATATAAGGTGGAAGGTAATTCATTATAAATCATCATCATCTTAGAAAGATTCTTTAAGCAGTTCACATTTTCTTTGCATTCTATGCTTGGGAGAACTTGGCACATGTGTGTAAGTATAGGCAGCCATAGATAAGCACTGGATTGTTTTCTTGTGAGAAAGCCGTACCAGGCCTTTGGCTCTGTATGCTACCTAATTATGCTTTTTTGTATAATGCTGCTGGAGTCAGTTAATCTTTTGTCAAGCTGTTATCCTTTGCTACTTCTGATTTTTAAATAAACTTATAAAAATTTATGTGAGATACTAAACCAGCCATGTTGGATGCTCAGACAGGTTAAGAGGGTTTTTTTTGGATCCTTTTGAGTTTTAGGCAGGGTTGGTCTGCAACGCGGAGCCACAACCGGTGAATGTGTGTTTTCCCTGAAGCACCAAGGAAGGAAGTAACTCAGGGTGTGCTGGGGGAGAGCCGGCCATCAGAGGCCTTTCCCAATCATCAGCGTGCTGACCTTCCTGGACATAACCAGGCAGAGAAAGGGCTGTGTGATTGAGTGGCGAGAGGACCTCTCGAGTAAACCTTCACGTTTCCCATCTGGATATGGGGCTGCCTCCGGAAAGTGTTTGGAAATTTCAGTGGGTCCAAAACACAGTGGCCAGAGTGCTACATGGGCCTGGCTACAGGGGTCGCACAACCTTGCATTACAACGGTTCCACTGTCTGCCAATCTCTTTCTGAGCACAATACAAAGTGCTGATTTTCACCTCTAAAGACCTAAAGCAGGGGTCCCCGTGGCAGGACTGGGACACAGAGCCAGATCACCCGCCCCCTTGGATGCACTCCTCCCACCCACCTTACCTGCATGCATGACCTGCCACACGTATGCACAGGTGCCCTGCCCTCCCATGAGCGTGGCACTCTTATTCATGCATGCCAATGAGTGCACCCGTCTGTGAGTGCACTGCCCCTTCATGCATGCAAGTGATTGCACTCCATCCCTTTGCGCATGTTCATGAGCGCACTCTGCCCACCCATGTGCGCACCCCTCCCCTTCATATATGTGCACAAGTGTGCCCTTCTGTGAGTGAGCACCATCACTTCGTGCATGCCTGTGAGCATGCCCCTGCCCTCCATGAGCGCAATCTGCCCCTTTGCACATGCAGATGAGTTTGCTCCACACACCCCACAGGTGTGCGACTCACAGGCAGGGCCACCCTCTCACCTCTGTAAATAGTGGCTGACCCATAACAGGCCCCACCCACAAAAAGGATGGGGAAATTGAGAGCTGACCCCCACCCCAAACTCAGATGCCATCTCTAACCGCACATCGACTCTGGCAGGATCTAAAGGCAGCTGAGGCATAAATCAATCTTTTAACTTCAATGGGGCCTCAGATTTTCTTTTCCCCTGTTTATTATACAGAATGTTTTTCTTCAACATGTTGAGGGAGATTAAAATGCCTGTGTGGTGTGTTAACGACACAAGTCACACCACCGTGGTTCACCCCACCTCATTCTCCTCACTTTCTCTTCTGCTCTTTGTCCCCAAACAGCAAATGTCACTCTGGATCCAAAGACAGCACATCCCAACCTCATCCTATCTGAGGATCGCAAAAGTGTGAGACATGAATTCAGATGGCAAGATTTACCTGACAATCCTGAGAGATTTGACAGTCAACGTTATGTGTTGGGACATGAGGGATTCAGAGCAGGCAGACATTTTTGGGAAGTCACTGTGGGAAGTGAGGGAAATTGGTCTGTGGGGGTGGCCAGGAAGTCACTACGGAGGAAAGGCTTTGTTGAATGGAGAACTGAAGAAGGGATCTGGGCTTTGGAGAGGTGGGGAGATGGCTACAGGGCATCCGACCTTTCTATTGCAAATTGTTTTCCTTTGAGTAAGACGCTGAGGAGGATCTGGATGTCCCTGAACTATGAAGTGCTTCGGGTGGCTTTTTATGATGCTGAAGCAGGATCTCATCTCCACACCTTCTCTGGAGCGTCTTTCTCTGGGGAGACCCTCCTCCCCTTCTTTCATGTGGATGGAGTAGAACCCCTCACAATCTCCCCTTAAGGCAACAAGGTGATCTCGCAGGGAAATTGAACAACTACAGTGGTGCGTCGCATAGTGACATTAATCCGTTCCAGGATTAACGTCGCTATACGGAAACATCGCTAAACGGAAAGAAAATCCCCATAGAAATGCATTAATCTCAGTTTAATGTATTCCTATGGGGGATAAACTCACCGTTCAGCGAAGTTCCTCCATACCGCCGCCATTTTCACGCCCTCGGTAAGTGAGGCGCGAAACAGGCGGCCATTTTGGAACCGCCAATCAGCTGGGTGGCGGGCTCTTCCGAAGGAGAGCGGGGACCTCCACCTCCCTCCTTCGCAAGAGCTTGCTGGTGCACTCTTGTTTTGTAGCATTTCACCAAATTACATATGCTGTGATTAACTTAGTATTTACTCATGAACAAGTGGGTGTTAACTTTAAAAAATCTTGATGCACTCAATCCTACATAAACTCCTATCAACAAGGAGGTGCATTTGCTTGTTTTCTGGTATTTTGGTTATGAATATGAAGAACTTTCTTGATCTCATTCATGTTTGAGACATGATACCTTGATGTGGGGAGACAGCCAGCTAAGAATTCTCAAGCCCCTATTAAAAATTTTGTCTCCTGGACAAAAGTGAGGTTCAAATGCTTGTCTTCATCATACTTTGCATGATTTGTACAAATAATTTGTCTCATTTTCAATTACAACGTTGTACATATGCACAGC